GAAAGATCTTTCAATTCCTGAATGTTTTCCTCATCTACTTTCCATTCTCTTTCTTTGGTTCACAGATTCCTTCCTTTTTTTACCTTTGCCTAACAGAGAGACTTATAGTTGGTTGCTCACTCACTGATACTCTGTTTCTTTGCTTGGTAAAAGAACAGCACTGCACAGGGGCTGCTTCTGAACCTCTCCTCCTTGGCTGTTTCCTCCTTCCTTCTTTTAGGCAGCCACAGCCACAGCCACAGCCTCTTGGCCTAGTTTCCCTGGCCAGACTCCCTATTGTCTCTGCCTTGATAGGGCCAGCACTGCCTCAGAAACAGAGCCTGCCTCAAATTGTGAGAGCAGCAAGGGTCCTGGAGGGTGACATGCTCATTGGGAAAAGCTTAGCTCATCTATCCAAGTCCTGCTGTTGTTAGGAGATTGGGTGGGATAGGCCAAGGCTTGAAACTCTCCAGAAAAAGTTCTTCTTTTTCTGGAGAGCTTCCAATGGCCCAGCCTTCATATCTACAGAATCTCAGGGCCCTGGCCTTGCTGAGAAGCACCTACAGATCCACAGAGTACCATTCCAGGCTGAAGAAAATCTCTTGGAGGATGACATTGCAGGCACTGGGCTGCATGTTTGAATCCTGAACTAGATAAACTTTTTAATCACCAGATTAATTTGGTGCACAGATTTAACAGACAAAAATATCAGCAGCAATACAGTTAAAATAGTATTATAAAGTGTAATTTGTACAATTTATCCTTAGTACTGTAAATAATTTTGAAAATTCTGCAGCTAAACTTTCATTAATCTTTTCTAGGAAATCAAGGATTTTGGTACCATGAGTATTTGGTACTATGAGTCCTGCCTTCTTGTGCTTTGGGAAATAGTGTGATCTCCTCTTCTTTGTGGGAGCCCCTCAAATATTGGAACGCTACTATCATGTCACTCTTAGTCTTTCTTTTCACTAGACTAGAAATACTCATGTGCAACTGTTCTTCATGTGTTTTAACTTCCAGGCCCATAATCATCTTTGTTGTTCTTCTCTGCACTCTTTCCAGAATCTCAATATCTTTTTTATATTGGAGTGATGAAAACTGGATGCCATATTCCAAGTGGGGCTTTACCAAGGCATGATAAAGACGTAGTAAGACTTCATGTGATGTTAATTCTATCTATTAATGCAACCTAGAATTGCATATAATATATGAAATCCTAGGCTGCATTAAAATAATGTTACATTACATTACATTAATGTAACATAAAAAGTATATACAATGATATATAATATATATCATTATATATATTTTTAAAAGATTGATATGCTGATCTATGACCATGGTAAAATTTGATTTGATTTATAAAGGATACAGTGCAGCTTAATTCTGATTTTCCATTCACCATGAGGAGAGAAATGCTATGCCTACCCTCTTAAAGAGCAGATGGAAGGCTATTACAGGCCAATGTAAAAGCTGTTCTGGTATTCTGGCATGTAATATTAAACAAATAATGGGCAAGTACAACAATTTTCACTGGTCTCAATTAAAGGAAGATGTGCTTAACTGAAATCACTTTGGAGAATTGCTTGAAGTATAGTATATCCTATTCAAAACCCACTGAGTTTGGCATGTTACGTGAAAGTCTACAATACCTTTAAGTGCAAATAAGCAATTTCCACCAGGAAGACCAGAATTTATCACAGCAGTCAAAAAGCATGTATTTTTAAGCCAAGAGTTAACATATACCATGTACACTCATGTTCATTGATGCCACTGATGCCTGAACAACTGGATTGGGGAAATATTGCAGAAATAAAACATGTCTAATTAAACAGCATCTAACAGCTCTATGTCCTTCTAAGCAGATATTTGAAAGCCATGCTATTTTGGCCTCAAACATTTTTAATCTATTTCTGATACAAAAAAAGTCTAAGATGTTGATTACCATTTTTTTACTTTAACATATTGGCCACCTTCCTTTTTACCACTTTCAATGACCGAATGTTGGCCCTCCAGGTGTCTCTGGCACAGGAAAAATATCTATTCAATAATGCTTCCATTATTTTGCTATTTATATTTAAATCTTGGAAGGCTCTTTAAAAATACTATTTTTTCTCATAATTAATAAACAGATAATTATACATGCAGTGGGAGGCAACTGAACCTGATGCTCTTCTCAATCCAAGGGGCAAAGTTGAGATAATAGTTAAATGGCAGGTGATTTTCCAGATTTCTGCATTTTTCCACCGTATCATTGATATAAAACACTGAACAGCAAAGGGCTAAAATACAGTCTTGTTAAACACCCTTGGAAGTAGGCGCCACAGCAGAGAGCTGACCTCGGCTGTCAATCTGATTTGAACATAGATGTTATCATGCAATGTTTTAATAAGTGCCAGCAGCAATCTCCAATTTGTTATTCAGTTGTTGTCTAGAAACAAAATCAAAAACTGTTTTGAAGTCAATCAATGCCACATACAGAGCTCCTTTGGGAACTGATAAATATTTTTGATATGTTGTAAAACCAAGCACTATCCATGGTATCCTACTATTCATTTTTTAAAAAAATATTCTAACGCTAAAAAAAATACAGTAATGCTCTTGAGTTAATTTCCATGTAAATTGGTTCATTTGAATCTAACACCCATGGACTGAATCTGGTGCAGATAGTTTGGATCTTGCTAGGAGACAGCAGTTACTTGCAAATAGTTTGCAAGTAATTACTTGTTTTACTAAACTATTAATTACTTGCAAATAGTTTTTTGATGGTAATTAGCAATTGTCAATTTCTCTGAAGAGGTTAACGAGAATAAAAATTAAAGTAAGGACAGAGCTCTACTGAGATTACACTACATAGATTACCTGTAGAGTGCATGGGTGGAAATGTAAATAAATTTGTAGATATTTGGTTGCAATGCTCAGTCAGGGTTTTGACTGAAATATTTTAAAGAAATTGAGAAAAATCACCTGACACTATTTGATAATGAAGCCTCAAGTTAGTTTGCTATCTATATTTCTTAATACAGAGAAAATGACCAAGCACAATATACTGACTCAGCTTTTGTTTTACCCATTATGGTTCTTACTGCAAAATACTTAAAAACGAAACTTTTCTCCCAGATGATGAAAGCAATCCTGGTCAGAGAGTATTCCTCATTACTGAGGAAGTGTAGAATCCTCACAAGTAGATCTGGAAATGGTCACCAAATTTGCAAGGAAGTCTCATTATTGGTGGAACAAAAATCAAAAAGAAGAATTTAATTTATGAGAAAACATGCAATTGGAATGTGGAAAGTGAGAAGCATGAACAAGGGAAAAAACAGAATTTAACTCTGTTAAACTATATGTTTTAGGAATAAGAGAACAGGTAGACAGACTGGGTCACTTCAACTCTGATGACTACATGATATTCTGCTCAGGGCCTGTGATTGTATGAAAGAATATGAGGCCGTGATAAAAAGAGAACACTGTTCAGCAATAAATCAATAAAAAGATAGCAGAATTAGTTGATATAAAAATTAAACAAGAATACACACTTCTGTTTAGATGTACAAAATGAATTTAATAAATGATAAGAGGTCTTAATGCAGCTTCAAGATAATGTGTATCTGGAATGTGAAAAGTGGAAAAATAAAGGAACCTGAAATTATAGGAGGATTTGGAATAGATAAATGCATTAATTCAAGAAATAGGTTAATAAGACTTTTGTGCTGCAAATTTGTTGTTAATTGTCTAACTCCACTTCTGTCTTGGCCCAGGGCTCAGACTCTGATTCTGAAGAAGCTGCTCCACCTGACCCTGTGGAGCAGAGGTCTTCAAACTTGGCAGCTTTAAGACTTGTGGACTTCAACTCCCAGAATTCTCCAGCCAGCCTCAAACTTGGCAGCTTTAAGACTTGTGGACTTCAACTCCCAGAATTCTCCAGCCAGCCAGAAGTCCACAAGTCTTAAAGCTGCCAAGTTTGAAGACCTCTGCTGTGGTGCCCTTAGGGGGCACCTAGTCAAGAATCACCTGAGGCTGCTCAAACAGAGGTACCATCAGAGAAGCTGGAGTGATCAGATGATGAGACATAGACCCCATGGGCCCCTCGGATTAGAGTAGAAAGCAGAATGAAGACACTCAATGAGGGTCCTTGCCAAGCAAGAGAATAACTAGCCTAATTAAAGTTAGCTGGCTGCAGCCTGATTTAAGAAGCAGTCCTGACTCATGTTCCTCTGTTGGAAACAGCTCTCTGATCTGCTCTGGCTTGTTGTTTCTATGATTCTGCTTGTGATTCCTGAAACCTTGACCTTTGACTTGATCTCTGAATTTTGGAATAGATTTGACTTCTCTTCTGTGGTGTCTCTACTGAAAGTGATACTATGCAAACTTTCTTTCCCAGAGACTGTTATGATTTACATTTCTTTCCTTGTCTGCTATTATCTACTTAGCTTTGAGTAAATTGCTCTTTTCATCTAGCAACTGAGTGTGTATGAGTTTGAAACCTGAAAAAGGACAGCTTCAAAGAACATGAGCATAGATTCTACACTTAGATACCACAAAATGGACATTGGAATCAAACAGAAAATAGATAATTGAGAAGTTCAATCCAATCAGCCAGGACCAGGCACACATTATATAATAAATCTTGATGTACTGCTGTCAAATCCATAGGCTAAGTATAGAAAATTTTAACAGCAGCATGTTGTGCAATGCAAAATGAGTAAATGCAAGTGAAGCACTGCAAAACAGACTCCTCACTTACAAGAACAAAGTTAAATGACCATGTTGCTTCGCTTTGCTTCATAGCCCACACAGCTCCCAAATCATGTGTCCTTTGAACTGCTCACCAACAGATCTATCAAGAAATGCAGAAGATACACAGCTCACCTCCTCTGTACTGCAGGTGCAGAGGTTGCCTGTAAATTCTCAATGTATAGTACAATTTGATTAAATTTATGCCATTCCAAAACATTTTGCAGTACTAGTAGCTATTGCGTATACTATATTTAAGTCCAGCTATAATATATAATGTAATTTACCTGTATTAGTTCTTTAGCTGCTCGAAATCTATATATCTTTTCTGCAGAGTATCAAATACAGCATTTCTGAAGGAAAAAGAGAAAAGAAAAAATTATGCTTACATACAAGGGACTCCAATAAATTCTCACAGTTATAGACAAGCCTTCAACCTTGCATGTAGAACACTTGAAACAATTATTCCCAGTGTACTCACATTGTTTATCTTTGAAGCATTATGCGGCAATTGTATTTCAGAATTGTTTTTCTTAGAGACTTGTACACACCATAATAGGAATTCTTATGAAATATATGTCTTTCCACATAAAACCCAGAATGGGTCAAATAAATCAGACTTACCAACTAAATGGCTAGATAGTTATAGTGCAAAAATAACTCTGAACCAAATCTACCATTTGTACATGAATATTTGCTGGAACTGATGCCATTAATTGAAAAGCTGTATTAAAAAACCCCATTATTTATTTTGTACAACAGTCAAATCAGCATAATGTATCTGTTCCAAAGTTATACAGAAAACCAATGGTAAACTTAAATAACAAAATATGTTTACCTATTTGTTCTGGACATCTCTAATCACCTCTCTTCTGAAACATACCCATGAAAGTTAATATTTAAGCTGAGTCAGACCAACCATATCATCAAATGGGATGGGTGAAATGATCTGTAAAATTGCCCTTTTGCTTTCAGATAACCCCCATCTCTGGCAAAGCAGATGAATGGTACATTCCTGTGTCTTCCAAGAAACTTTAGTACATTAATGGAATGCAAGAATAGAACAGTCTCTAGTACATGTTCCATATACCTTTTAGGATTAAGAAATGAAAGACAGGAAGAATATCTTGCAGCATCTTGCTGGAGTGTTAAAGGCAAATACTATGGAATACATCTTCCCTTTGTTTAATCTTCTTTACTATCCTCAAACAGTTCTTTTTTAAAAAAAAATAGCTGTTTCATAACTTAATTGTGATTCTCAATAGATTTCTCACATTATCGAAGTTCTTTCACTGGGACTAAATTAAATATGTCATACGGTAGCTCTTTAAATGTGCCGCTATTTCAAAAGCAAAAACCAAATTCAGAAGAGAAGTGTTAATCTTTTAACCGACAGTAGAAATGATATCTGGGAAATATTCCAAAACACATTCTTTTGATTTTATTTAAAAAAAAACCAGATTAATAATATCAATATTGGGGCATTTTGACCTAGTCAGGAAGAATTTTATGAGAAAGAAATATTCTCAGCCCATATTATGCTCCTCTGATTGTCAATTCTGAAGCTGGCCTGACTGAGGCCATCTTAGAGGCTTCAGCGTTGCCACTGTGGTGATAAAGGATAGAGAGGGTGGAATAGAGATAGTTGGGGTTCTGTAGCCAAAACAAAATAGTTTCCCTTCAGAACCAAGGACTTTCCCACAGGTGGCTGAAGAGAGGAGGAATGAAGTTTCTAAGCAACTGGACAGCACCTTCTTTGGGCCATGTAACTGATGGGTTGGGAAAGGGAGGAAAACTTTTACTTTTAATTAGGTGGAAACTGAGGGAACCTTTAGAGTTGGTTTTCACCAGTCTGTGCCAATATGATATATCCAGTAAAACTGTTCTTTAAGGAATCTACTTGCCTCGGAGTTCTATTTGCTATGGGTATATTACTTGAAACCCTGACACTGACATGCCATGTTCCTATTAACATGCTACAAGAGGCTGGATTCGTGTAAGATAAAAACCCAACTAGACTCTTCAGAATGCACCCAGTTGTTCTCCAATTGCTGACATTCAGAGGCATTTAATCCTGAAAGAAAGCAAGACTGGAAAAAGTTCGGATGGAATGATTTAATTGGAAGCTGATTTATTCAAATACCATCAAAATAGATACAAACAAAGCAGGTTCCCTCTTTCTCCATTTCTAAAAGAGACACAAAGAAGCTGCACTGTTTTGCTTTGCTTCTGAGGCTTCCTTCAGCAATTTCTGCAGCACTGCACTGACATTTATGAATGGCAATTCTCATAAATCTTTGTTCCATTCTCCTGAAAAAGAAAAAGGTTATAGCAGTTGGGGTCTTCCTCATGTAAAAATATGAATAAATGGAGCTCTGTTTTTCTAAATCTTACTCTGGATCCAAGAACTGCATTTATTTTTATTTACTGTGCCTTCAAGTCAGTGTTGACTTTTGACGACTGCCTGGAAAAGTCCCTGTGGTTTTCTTGCCAAGATTCTGCAGAAGTAGTTTGCCTTTGCCCGTTTCCTAAGGTTGAGAAAAGGGCACTGGCTTGGTGCCTAAAGCGGAAGAATTCACACCCTCCCAGTTTCTAGCTTTTGGTACCTTAACCACTGCACCAGGTTGGGTCTCCTTCAACTGCATAGATTATCTTAAAAGGACCACAGCCAAATGAGCCATTTATGGATTGATAATTGATTTCATTTATTTCAGCTTTCAGCAAAGATTAGGAGGTATTCTAATAACCATGGCAGACATGGAGATTTTATCTATGATCTATCTCTTATCTCTAATAGACAATTTGTAATCTATTGGAACATTGTTTCAAGTATATTTCCTTACTTAAACAGAGAAACAGAATGACCAAGGGCAAAAAGCAGTGGGAGCAAGAGTGATCAATTTGGGTTGGTCACCAGGATTTAACTTCTCTCTACCAGAATTGTAGAGAGAAGAGAGAAGTAGAGAGGTAGAGAGAAGTTTCCTGAGGATGGACTCTAACATGAATCCAAAAGCTTGGAAGACTAAACCTCTGGTCCTAGTGGCGGACCTAGGTGAGTTCCTGCAACATTATCCTGGGACGCATATATTTGCTTTCACTCATGGAGCAAGAGTGACTTCTGATTTCCCTCTTAGTGTGATTGCAGCTGGCTGCCCGCCAGGAGCTGATGGTGGGACTGCTCTACCTAGTCTCTGGAGGGGTGGAGTGGGACTGGATTATTTGGTCTCCAGTGGCTGAAGGAGTTACGTAAACTTCAGGTTAACCTGAATAGACAGTTTGGGGGGGGATCAAATTTCTCTTTCTCCCTTCTTATATTAAAGTGAGTCATATAAGAGGGAAGAAAGAGAATCATTTCAAAATTGGGTTATTATAGTCTCCTCTACAATGATAAGGCAGAATTCCAGTATTCATGTGGCATCAGTTTCCTGATCTGATCTACCTGAAGGGCTGGCAGTTATAATCCTTGTGATATTGGGAATATCAAGGTTCCCAATACTATAGATAATTCTTACCATATTTAGCTGAACTGCTATGATTCTATTTCAGAAGGATACTGCAGCAATGAGATACAAATCCTTGACACACCTCCACCATTGCATTTGCAAATGACCTTGATCACCTGATCCTTTGGGAAAATACACAGAAAAGGCAGAAGACAGCTCAGAATACAGATCTTGTCTCTTTTTTAAAAAATAATTTCATTAAAGTTTACAAGTACAAAGATAATTAAGCTAATACAAACTAAGGAAAATATAAAAAGTGAATTTAAGAAAAAGAGGAATGCAAAGAGATAGAGAAAAAAAGAAGATATATAAAAGATGACTCCCTCCTCCTTCCATAAACAATTCCATAAATCAAAAACAATTTCAATAACTAAACTGCCGTTTTCAGCAAAAAATGCTTGATTAAGAATTGCCAATGTACAGATTTTGTTAGTGAGAAAGGTGATGCCAGTTTTCTTTCACAATGTTATGAGATGCCCTTCTGCACAGTTAACCAGTAGCACACTGTGTAGAAGAAATAAGGCAGCAGAACCTTGCACAGCAAATAAAGATTTTCGTTTCTGTCAAAATTTTCAGGGGAGAAAAGTTCTAAAAAACTTAAGCTACAATAAGAGTTACGCATAATTGCTTCTATTTCAAGATACAGACTTCTGTCAACTGAACATTATAAAAACATTAAGGACAAAGATAAATAAATAATTTAAAATAACAGCTCATTTCCCTAAACTTAGAATTACTTGGAGCTCTTCCAGTGCTGCATTGCCCTTAGCAATTCTTGCTCTAATTCCATCTCTTCTTTCTTCAAAGGCTTAACTGCTTTTAGGGGGTGCTTTTGTGGATACACAAAGAATTTAAAAGCTTGTTCTGACAGTTATCCCTTTGGGTTCACCTCAAAACAAATACACTTTTATCAAACAGTAAGATAAAGTATATTTTTTGTAATTTAAGAGAACTTTGTTATGGGAAAAGGTTAGAATAATTTTTTCTCAAGTTGAGCAATTGCATTTTAATTTAAAGAGTTTTAACTGCAATGTATTTAACAGTACTTCAACTTTTTAATTTAGGTGACCAGATGAATCCTAGTAGATGGTATTTCTGGGCTCCATTGGACTGTTTTTCTTCTTCTATAAAGCTCTTACAATCATAGAAATTCCAACTTCTGAGGATTTTTCATCAGGTCCGCCTGATTCGCCAGTTGCGTCCCTTTCTGGATCGGGACTCGTTACGCACGGTCACTCATGCCCTCGTCACCTCCCGTTTGGACTATTGTAACGCTCTCTACATGGGGCTCCCCTTGAGGAGCACTCGGAGGCTCCAACTGGCGCAGAGTGCGGCCGCACGGGTAGTGATGGGAGCGACGTGGCGCTCCCATGTAACGCCTCTCCTGCGTGAGCTGCACTGGCTCCCGGTGATCTTCCGAGTGCGCTTCAAGGTCTTGGTTATCACCTTCAGAGCGCTCCATGGCTTAGGACCTGGCTATTTACGGGACCGCCTGCTGCCACCAATAGCCTCCCACCGACCAGTATGCTCCCATAGAGAGGGGCTCCTCCGGGTGCCGTCGGCCAAACAATGTCGACTGGCGGCCCCCAGGGGGAGAGCCTTCTCTGTGGGGGCACCTACGATCTGGAACGAGCTCCCCCCGGAGATACGGAGGATTCCGGATCTGCGTACCTTCCGTCGTGCGCTTAAGACATTTTTATTCCATCAAGCTGGCCTGACCTAAACTTTTCCTCTTTTAAATGGAATTTTAAATTTGGTTTTAATTTATTGGGGTTTTAAAATGTCTCAGCCAAATTTATTTAATTAGTTTTATTTCTATTTTAAATTTTGTATCTATATGTTTTATTTAT